CAATCGCACAGCGGCAGGCAGGCAGGCAGGGCGGGAGGGGAGGCCAGCAGGGAACGTGCGATCCGCAAAGCTGAGACGAGGCGAAGCGATGCTGATTGGCTGCTGCGACTATAGGGAGGGCTTAACACGTGTTGGTGATCGATAGGACCGAACCGGATAAGATCAGACAGACGGGCGGGCGGCAAAGGCGAGGATAGAATCGATGTGGCGTACGCTGAATGCGTTTGATCGGTATGTATGCGGCGCGGTGCTTGGGTCGCACGGCGCGACGCGACGCGGTATGTTTCAAAGCGGCACGTGCGCACGTGTGCTTTTTTGCACTCCGAAGTATACGCCGCGAGCAGCGGCGGTATATGCCGACATCTTGTGTGGTGGTTGTGCGGTGCGGTAGGGTGATTGCCGGTACATTGTCCACAAAGCGGCATCGCCGTCTAACAAAGCGTTTCAATGATCATCGGTCATTTGATGCGCGGTGAAAGATGAAGAGGCACGCACTCTACCCCGTTTCCTGTTGTACGCCGGTTCGTCGTCGTCTCCGTTCAGTGTTCGATGTTGTTATGGCGGTAGACATCGCTGTCACCACCGCTGCTGCGTGGCGAGCGACAAAGCCGAAGAACGCCCGCATATGTATACCGCTACTAATTGCATTCCACGCATGCCACGTGACTTACGGCCGCCAGCCTTTTGTAAACACTGCGCGTCGCGGCGGCGGCGGTGGCGGCGGCGGCGGCGGCGGCGGCGATCGTCGGTTCGTTCGTTCCGCTACCTGTATACCGGCCGCTGTGGCTGAACGCGGACCAGTTGCCAAGCCTCCTGCCGCTTCGAGACCGCTTCTGCGGGACGTGAGTGAGTAACCCAGAACGAGGGAGAAGGGAGGACGGAGAATATGAGCGTGCGTAGTTGTTCACATGGACGGAACGAAGGCCGCACACTTCTTCCCGCTTTTGCTGTCATGCCGTGGCATTGAACTGCGCAAAACTGTTTGCTTCGGTGCACTTTCTAGGAAGCTCAGTCACTTCGTTCTTCTCAAGCTCTGGTGTTTACCGTGATCTGCAAAGAGTAACGAACGCGACATTGAAAGCCGTTCTTTGTCCACTGAGCAGATGACGTCTGACCCGATTTTTCCTGACTTAACCCTTAAGTAGTCGCGTGACAAAAAGTTACATAACCACTCGCGTCGGGTAATATTGACTCGTTGCTTTACTCTTAAGCATATAAGTTTTTTTTAGAAACATCTCACCAATATGGGCAAACATTAAAACGCACCTATTTGTGAAATAGAACAAGAACAGCGGGTTTTATAGCACTTAGATTTTTTTAAACGCAAATTTGAAAAAAATGAACTATTTTAAGATACATTTTCCATATTTCCTGCCAGTGTTAACATATATTTGTAAGTGAATTTTAAACAATTTTTTTCTTAGAAATATTACAATACTGCAGAAGAACAATAAAAAACACTGATTTATGAAAAACAATTTCAAAACACCCGCACTTCCGACGACTTTAACAGCACTGAAAAGAAGAGACGAAAAATTATGAAATCGCATTTGACCCTCATTCCTTCACTAATTCTTTAAATTTAATATGAAATTTAGTCAATAGAAATATCATTCGGGTCATATAGACCCTACGCGAGTACTTAAGAGTTAAGCGATATTCATTACGTGAACGTTGTTGATTGCTTTACATTTATTCGATTTCAGTGCCTACTATTTCTGGCGGGTTCCAAATCAGTGGTTTTAACAATGGGCCGCCAAGCAGATAAATTTAAATTCTAAGGCACCACAGCGTCAGGTCTTTTATATAATCCAGCCATCTGGTTT